TAGAATAATATTCTGCAGGAAGTTTTTTAATATTTATAAGCATGAGGAATTAAGGTCCAGGAAGCCCTGCCTGGGACAGGAGAAGTCAGACTAGGGCTGACCAATAAAACTCTGCAGTGATGTAGTGTCCTGTTTTGTGCTGCTGTCCCCACATGTGACCACTGAGCCCTTAAGATGCCACCAGTGCAACTAGCTCTGAATTGCTCATTTTGATTGATTTTCATTTGAATTTCAGTAGTCACATGTGGCTAGCAGCCACTGTGTTGATCAGGGTAGGGTTGACAAATGGAAAGTTGCAGCAGTGGCAGCAGCCTGAGTGTCTCTGCCAAGGAAGCAATATGCCTTCTCATGCACATAGGAGAAGTGAAACCACCTCCCCCAGTTCAGAGGGGTAATCGCCACCCAGAATGGGGGTTGAGGGATGGCATAGCTGGGTAAGGATTTGGAGGCACTTGGGCTCAGAGATACATGCAGGGTTTGGGGTGTCCAGCTCTGTTATCATTGTTTTGCTTTGGGCTTTCCAATAGGACCTTGATTTTAAATGTTTTGAGTCTTTGACCCCACACTTATACTGTCATGTCCAGTGTCTAGATTTTTTTATTTAGAAAACCTCTGTGGTGCTTCCTTATTCATCTCCCACCCACAGAACCAGGGCTTGTCCCAGTCACATGGACTTGGAAGTGGGTGGGGAAGTATGTCTTCCTGGCCCTATTTCTCTGTAGCTTGCATTAGTCATTGACTTCCCAGTGTGGATTTTTTTCTTTTTTCTTTTGGTTTCTTGTAGTTTATTCAATTAGAAAGGATTTGTGGCAAATTTGGGTTTGGAAACCAGTGCCCTGAGTTCCAGTCCACTTTGCTTTACAGAAGTGAGCTTCAGGCATTTAAGGGTGTAATTTCTTTTCTTCGGTGCACAATATTAAATCATTATTCTCTACTTTTTTTTTTGAGGGTGGCATGAATGATTAAAAGGGTAATCATTATGTTCTACTTTTGTGACCTTCTTTATTGTTTGTATTGATTTTGATATTCCCATATCTGGAACATAATTTTTTTCAGAATGCAGAGTAACACACAAAGCATGGTGATTTTTTTTCTGGACTAGTTTTCATACATGATTAAAGTATTTTTTCAAAATTCTGGAATTATCCTTGAACAGTGTTTTACTTTGCATTTCCCTCTCAGACATGGTTTGATTTGAGCCTCACAGCAAACAGGGTGGACAGTGAGAGGGCAGCATGCAGCTGTGCAGCAAGGTGAATTGTGAAAGACACATCTGCTCTCCCTGAGCCTCCCAGTGACTGATGTCCTTAAGTAAGTGCAACAAATTCAACTGCATGCATTAAAAATATATTTCTTAGTTAAATGCCCTAGTTCACTACAAACTGTCAACTGAAGGTCATCACCAATTCAGCACCAACAGGGGTCCCTAGTTTGGGGCACAGTGAGGGGGGAGACTTTATTTAATGCAGACAGCTCAAGCGTGATATAGCTCACGTGTGATGCAGCTCAACAGTGATACAGCTCAGATGTGGTATAGCTCTGTGCTACAGCTGAAGTGTGCTACAGTATGGCTGTAGAACAGCTTGCTTGAGCTGGCCTGGGTGAGGTGCTCCTGGTGTTACAGCTCTGGTGAGACAGCACCAGGTCTAGTGTTACAGCTCCAGCAGTGATAAGAGTCTTCCATGGAAACTGAAAAGTGCAGTCCAGTGAGGTAGATGTGAAGCTTGCCTATATAGAGAATAGTGCCCATCCTGAGGCCCTGATTGGTCCACTCTCATGCAAATGAGGACTCCAAATCTTCACAGTTTGATTGGTCCAGAAAAGCACTGTCTTGATTGGTCAGAGTGTAGCTTATTTGATTGGTCAGTGTGAGGCTATAGCTGCATAGTTCTGAGTGGATGGGGAAAGTCTCAGTCCTATTGGTTGAAATAGGATCCTAGGAGCTCTCTTATAAGGGTAGACACAGGCAGCAGGAATACAGTGCAGGAGTCAGGCAGTTCAGTGCAGCTTTTTCCCTGAAGTGCAGAAAGCATGAGAGACCCACGTGAAGCAATGACTACTAGGCTCTGTCTATAAATTTGAGCCCAATCAACCACTAGAGGTCCTTCTTAACAGGCACATTCACTCTTGAGGTCAATAAAACCTATTAGAATGGCTTAAACAAGTAAAACACAACTAATTCTACCAAGTGTTGGCAAAAAGGTGAAAGGTCTAGGGCCCTCATACATTGCTGGTGGGGATGCAAAATGCCATGGTCACTTTGGAAGACAGTTTGGGAGTTTCTTATGAAGTTAACATACTGTTTCCATATGATCCAGCTGTTCTACTACTAGGTATTTACCCAAGAGAAATTAAAATGAATATTCACACAAAAACCTGTATGCAAGTGTTTGTAGTGGCTTTACTGACAATTGCCAAAAACTGGAAAAGACTGAAATGAGCCGTGTGTGTGGGGTGGATAAACACGGGTGGATAAACATGGCATACAGGCCATGGAAGACATCCTAGCAAAAAGCAGGAATGAAGCGCGATAGATGCAACAACAGGGCCAGTCACACATGCGTTATGATGAGTGAAGGATTTCTTTAAAATGCTGCACACCATAGCATTCTGTTTGTGACATTCTGGGAAAGGCACAACTTTAGCTGCAGAAGCCAGGCCGTGGATGCTAGGGTCTGTGGTGGGGACAGAGGTTGACTATGAAGTGGCACAAGGTGAAATTTGGGATGATGGAAGTGTTCTGTAGCTCAATTGTGGTGGCGGTTACGTGACCATATGTGCTTGTGAGAGCTTATAGATCCATAAGGAAAAAGGTGTGGGTTTTTACTTAATGTCCAGTAACCTGACTCACTCAATTCACCCAAATAAAAACAAACAAAAATCCCCAGTCAACAGATGTAAAGGATAAACTACAATTCAATAGAACTAACCATTTGCTATATTAGAATATATATATATATATATATATATATATATCATAGTTATTCTAGAAGAGAAAAAACAATTCACAATTAGTTGTTTTGATCATTCAAAAATGAAAAATTAAATCTCATCCTACAAGCCAGAACCCTCAAATTCAAGTATCAATTGCACCACTAACTACTTGTCTGTCTCCTTAAAAAGGCCTAAATCCACCCAATTCTTATCTCCTCATTTGAAACACTACATTTAATACTGCTGTGTCCTTCATAGGCAGGTTCTGATAATCTTTTAAATGGGAGGATTTCTTTTAGGGCCTATTCTGAAGAAGTGTTACAATAGTTAATTTAACTTATTGTTCAGTTAGGAGTCATGCATGTTCATGGCCACAAACTAAAGACTCAAATAATACAGAAAGATATAAAGGAGAAGGGAAATTTCCCTCATCCTTAAAAAAATCCCTGGTTCCTGGTTTGGGAATGAGCCCCTTCCCCCTTTGAACTTGAGGGACCTGCTGTCTCTGGAGCCTCAGCCTCTGAGGTCCCCAGTGCTCCTGCCCCCAGGAGGAGCTTGGGGCTGGGGCCTGCTAGCCTATAAGATGGGGCCTCTCTCATCTCTGAGCATGGGATGCACCATTCTGTGATGATAGCTGGAACAGGAGCTACCCACTGATACCAGCTTGTGTGACTCGGGCTCAGTTCACAAGGCCTTACACTCATCCATTAGCTCAATCCTTATGACAGCTACTGTTATGCCACTTTACAGATGAGGCAACTGAGGCACAGACAGAGTCACTGCCAATGACTCTCTGCTGGACTTGGAAACCTGTCTTTCTTGCTCCAGGGATCCTGCACCCACCTGGGGTGCTCAGTGCCTCTCATTCACCATGCTGTGTTGAACTCATGCCATTGTCAGACTGTGGTCCTGCAGCCACTGCAAGAGCCAGACAGCAGGTCTGCCTGTTTCTCTCTCCTCCAGCTCCTCTGGTGCTTTCCAGCTTTGTGTTCATGACTGGCACACAGCAGGTGCTCCATAAATGGTAGCCAAACAACTGAGTCAATGCGTCAGGCAGTAGAGTTTGTGTCTATCCACAAAAATTGAAATCAGGATTTTGGAGAGATATCTGCACCCCCATGTTCATTGCAGCATTATTCACAACAACCAAACTGTGGAAGCAACCCAAGTGTCCATCGATGGAAAAATAGATAAACAAATAGTACATATATGCAATGGAATGTTATTGGTCCATGAGAAAGAAGGAAATCCTGCCATTTGTGACAATGTGGATGGACCTAGAGGGTATTATGTTGAGTGAAATAAGTCAGACAGAGAAAGACAAATACTGTATGATCTCACTTATATGTGGGGTTTAAAAGAGTCAAACTCACAGAATCAGAACAGAAGGACAGTTGCCAGGGGCTAGGGGTTGGGAGCGGGGGAAGGGGGTTTTAGTCACAGGGCACAGTTTCTGTTGTGCAAGACAACTAAGCCCTGAGGTCTACTGCACAGCGTACTGCCTTACGCTGGTAACGCTGTGTCGTGTACTTAATATTTGCTGAAAGTGTAGACCCTACATGCAATGTTCTCACCAAAAAAAAAAAATTAAAATGAAGTGGGAAGAAACTTTGGGCAGAGATAAATGTATCCATGGCCTTGATGGTGATGGGTACATGGGTGTGTACTTACCTCGATAAAATGGTTCAACAATAACAGGTGATGGGGTCAACCTGCCAGCCGGCCGCATTCATGCAACATCTTGAGAGAGCACATAATCTGTGTGTCATGCTCTAGACCCCCTGCTCACAGCTCTGGGGGGACCCCCACCCCATCAGTGAGAAGACACATCCATTGAGCATCACTGAGGTTCCCCTCATTCTCCACTCCCGTGGCCTCCAAAGCCAGGCTCAGCTTTGACAACAATGTTCACTTTGGGAAACCTGGTGATGTGAGTAAGCATTAGTCTCTGCCTTTGCCTGTGGTGCAATCTTGTTCAGGCCACACTGAGGCCACATCCTTCCTGCCCCTGCTGGGCTGTTACAACAATAAATTCAGCAAATTTCCTCTCAGGCTGTTCCTGAGGCCGGCATCTGGGTGAGTCCAGCTCCATGGAGCACAGTGGCTGAACAGGCCTGGGGAAAAATGGGGAAAATATTTCCAGGGCCTGAACATGACTAGGGATTTCTTCTCCCATTCTCCACGTCTGTCCTTCAACACCATTTCTGGAATGTTCTTTTATATTTATCATTTGGGCTGTATGTGTGCAAGTGCATGTGTGTGTGGGGCGAGGACAGGGGCAGCAATCTCAGTTTACACCCTGGACTCTAGCAACTTTGTCCAGCACCCTTGGAGTGGGTGG